TTCAGTTTCGTTTTTCAGCATAGCTAGGGGGAAAAAAATCAGCACTCTTTGCAAGGAAGCAGAAGAGCCCTGAGCAAAACAGCTGAGACAATTCAGCTGAGAACCGGGAGTCCAATTAGCCTATGCTGAAGCTCCGTGGGCCAATAAAATTACAAAAAAAAAACACCAAACCCTTTGTTAAATTGCTGGCTCCCCCGCCCCTTGCCCACTACTATTTATTGGCAATAAATAGTGGTTGTTTGTTTGTTTGTTTGTTTATTGAATTTCTATACCGCCCTACTCCCGAAGGACTCAGGGCGGTGCACAGCCATGAAATAAAACACATAGATATACAAAATTTAAAATCGAATAAAATGAATTAAATAAATTTGGCTGAATTAATACCCAATTTAAAATACCCATATTTTAAAATCCATTAAAATTTAGAATTTACACTTTAGAAAGGAGGAGATTTAGGCGAGGCCAGCTTGATGAAACAAAAGCGTCTTCAACTCGCGGCGGAAGGTGCGCAGATCCGGAATCCTCCGTATCTCTGGGGGGAGCTCATTCCAGATCGTCGGTGCCCCCACAGAGAAGGCTCTCCCCCTAGGGGCCGACAGCCGACATTGTTTGGCCGACGGCACCTGGAGGAGCCCCTCTCTGTGGGAGCGTACTGGTCGGTGGGAGGCTGTTGATGGTAGTAGGCGGTCCCGTAAGTAACCAGGTCCCAAGCCATGGAGCGCTTTAAAGGTGGTAACCAGAACCTTGAAGCGCACCCGGAAGACCACCGGGAGCCAGTGCAGCTCGCGCAGGAGAGGTGTTACATGGGAGCTCCATGTTGCTCCCATAACCACCCGCGCGGCCGCACTCTGCGCCAGTTGGAGCCTCCGGGTGCACCTCAAGGGGAGCCCCATGTAGAGAGCATTACAATAGTCCAGACGAGAGGTGACGAGGGCATGAGTGACTGTGCGTAACGAGTCCCGATCTAGAAAGGGACGCAACTGGCGAATCAGGCGAACCTGATGAAAAATCCTCCCGGTCACGGCCGTCAAGTGCTCTTCTAAAGACAGCCGTGAGTCCAGGAGGACGCCCAAGTTACGAGCCCTTTCCGTGGGGGCCAATGATTCGCCCCCAATAGCCAGCGATGGTGCCAGCTGACTATATCGGGACGTCGGAAACCACAGCCACTCGGTCTTGGATGGGTTGAGCCTGAGCCCGTTTCTCCCCATCCAGATCCGCACGGCCTCCAGGCACTGGGACATCACTTCAAGGGCATCGTTGGGGTGGTCCGGGGTGGAGATGTACAGCTGGGTGTCATCAGCGTACAGATGGTACTTCACCCCGAAACCACGGATGATCTCGCCCAGCGGCTTTACATAAATGTTGAACAGAAGGGGCGAGAGAACCGATCCCTGCGGCACCCCACATATAAGGGGCCTCGGGGTCGATCTCTGCCCCCCTGTCAACACAGACTGCGACCGGTCAGAGAGAAAGGAGGAGAACCACCGTAAAACGGTGCCTCCCACCCCCAACCCTTCCAGCCGGTGCAGCATGATACCATGGTCGATGGTATCAAAAGCCGCTGAGAGGTCTAACAGGACCAGGACAGAGGAACAACCCCTGTCCCGAGCCCTCCAGAGATCATCAACCAACGCGACCAATGCCGTTTCCGTGCTGTACCCAGGCCTGAAGCCCGACTGGAACGGATCTAGATACGACGCTTCATCCAGGTACTGGGGTAGCTGTCGCGCAACCACACTCTCAACAACCTTCGCAACGAAGCAAAGGTTGGAGACTGGACGATAATTAGCCAATACTGCCGGGTCCAGGGAAGGCTTCTTGAGGAGAGGCCTCACCACCGCCTCTTTCAAGGCGGCGGGAAAGACACCCTCACCCAACGAAGCATTTATAATCCCCTGGAGCCAGCCTCGCGTCACCTCCCGGGAAGCCAGCACTAACCAGGAGGGACACGGGTCCAACAAACATGTGGTCGCGTTCAATCTACCCAGAATCCTGTCCACGTCATCTGGGGTCACAGGATCAAACTCATCCCAGATAACAGTCTCAAGACCTGTCTCCGTCACCCTCGTTGGATCTATCCCGTCAGAGTCCAGACCTGCCCGAATCTGAGTGATTTTGTCATACAGATATTGAACAAAATCCTCGGCTCTCCCCTCCAAGGGGTCCTCCCGCGCTTCCTGGTGGAGCAGGGAGCGGGTCACCCTAAACAGGGTGGCCGGGCGATTATCTGATGACGCAATAAGAGCAGTAAAATGAGTACATTTTGCTGCTTTTATCGCCACTAGGTAACTCCTAATATAAGATCTTACCAGTGTTCGGTCAGATTCAGAAAGACTAGCCCTCCAACAGCTCTCTAGGCGTCTTTTCCGGCGCTTCATCTCCCTCAGCTCCTCGGTGAACCAAGGAGCCAGGCGAGATCGGCGCCGGGTCAGAGGCCGCAAAGGCACGACTCGATCCAGGGCTCCAGCAGCCTCCCTATCCCAGGCGGCCACTAGGTCCCCAGATGAGGCGTGAGCCAGAACCTCCGGGATTGGCCCAAGTTCCATCTGGAACCTATCAGGTTCCATCAGGCGCCTGGGGCGGTACCATCTTACCGGTTCCGCCTCCCTGCGGTGGGGTGCTGCGGTTCGAAGGTCAAGGCGAAGGAGCGAGTGATCTGACCATGACAAGGGCTCGATGACTATATCCCCTATCTCGAGATCACTCAACCACTGTCCAGAGACAAAAACCAAGTCCAGTGTGTTTCCCCCAGTGTGCGTAGGGCCATGAATTAGTTGGGTCAGGTCCATGGCCGTCATGGAAGCCATGAACTCCCGAGCCACCTCAGACGCCTCACCCACGGATGGCAGGTTGAAATCCCCCATGACCATAAGTCTGGGGGTATCAACCGCCACCGCGGCAATAACGTTGAGTAGCTCGGGCAGGGCTGCCGCCACGTGGCAGGGAGCCAGGTACGTGATCAGCAAACCCATCTGAACCCCGTGGCCCCACTTCACAAGGAGGGACTCACAACCGGCCGTCTGAGGAACAGTGGTCTCCCTCGGCCTAAGGCCTTCTCTAATAATAACCGCTACTCCCCCACCCCTCCCCTGTGACCTTGGCTGATGGAATGCGTGGAAACCTGGTGGGCACATTTCTACCAGAGGGACCCCTCCCTCTGGGCCCAACCAGGTCTCCGTAATACCCGCCAGGTCCGCTCCCCCCTCGTAAACAAGATCACAGATGAGGGGGGCTTTATTTACTGCAGACCTGGCGTTGCACAACATCAGACGAAGGCCCAGGCCCTGAAGGTCTGTACTACCTGGAGAACGGGTGGAGCCTTGGGGGCCGGAGCACTCTACCGCTTGAAGACAGCGGGTGCGTGCTCCCTTAACATGATATGGCCCCCTGCTCCCGCCATATCTACCCCTCCCACACACAGTACCGATGGTGAAAGCATAGTCTGGACCAGCTCGACCCCCTCCGGATCCCCCACCACCCCCGCCGAACGTCCTGGCCAAGCCCGACTCTCCCCCTAGTGGGTTATCCCCCAAACCCACAATCCTAATTCCAATCCCACCCCCCTCCCCCCTCCCAGAACCCCTTAAAAGTTTAAACAAGGACAATTTTAAAAAACCCCGCAGCCCCCTCTTTGCGGCATGCCACCTCTCGGGACTCCAGAGCCCGTCATCGAGGTAGGCCCTCGATAGAATGGAGGGCCAAGCCTGCGAGAGGGGGGAGTCTCGCAGACCAAGAAGCTCCGCTGCTGAGTACATTAATCATAATGGGTAACACGACCATATCCTGAGGGTGTATATAAAGGACCGAGGAGAAGATAAAAGAATGGGGGATCTCAGAGACATATTTGCAGGACCAAGTCCCCTGTCCCCTCACAACAGAGGACATAGTCCAAAGCCAGGACGACCACAGTTCCAAGGGGGAAATAGATCTAACCACCCTCTCACGGTGGTTAGGTCAGCTGGACAACCCCCTCTTGTGGTGGGGTGGCAGCAATGAACCGGTGCATATAGACAGCGTCCAGGGGTCAGGTCCAAAAGTCGCCCTCTCACGGCGTTTTGTCCGGTGGTAAAGACCGATGGTAAGGTCCCCTCGCTGGTAAAGTCCCCTCGCTGGTAAAGTGCATATGTGTGGAAAGCTGGTAAAGTGCATATATGTAGAAAGCGTCCCGGTTCAGCCCCGGTGCGGAGGGGCGGGGCAAGCCAGCAATTTAACAAAGGGTTCGGCTGCACCACTGGCTCTAGGGTGGCCCTTTGAAGCCCTGTGGCAAGAATTTGAAGTTTTTTTTTCCTCTAGCCATCGGAGGCAGCAATAGATTGGGAGTGGGCGGGGTAAGCGAATGGCCGGCGATCCAACAGAGCAGAGAGTGAGGGTGAGTGAAGGCGTGGAAGCTGCTTTCTCCATCCTGCTCTCTTGCGTCCGGAGCCGGTGGGGAACCACGTGGCAGCCCACGTGGATCCCAGGCAGCGGAATTCAGGCTAGGGAAGGGGTGGGCAATTGTGGCTCTTTTACAACCTGTGGCCTTCAACTCCCAGAATTCCTGAGACAGCCAAGCTGTCTCAGGAATTCTGGAAGTTGAAGTCCACAGGTTGTAAAAGAGCCACAATTGCCTACCCCTGGCTACGGTAGGCTGGCGCTGCGCGGGTGGGAGGCGAGGGGCGGGCGAGCCAGCAATTTAACAAAGGGTTCGGCCGAACCCCCTAGAACCCCCAGAATCCCACCACTGTGTAGGCCCCTCTTGATCTTGAGGCCCTAGGCTGAAGCCTAGTTAGCCTATAGGAAAATCCGGCCCTGCTGTTGATATTTTGTTTTCTTACTCTTTCTCATTTTAAAAAAATCATGAAAGTGAATTTGAAGACCAACTAAGTCAGCTGTTCAGGTCAAATAGCGGCCTCCTCAGGTAACCTGTGGGCCCCCTCAGGTAACCTGTGGGCTCCCTCAGTTTATTAATAATGGGAAATTTCAAAGCATTGCTTCTTTCAAACCAGTTTAGTTTATAAGCCCTTCAGCTGGAAAATCCTTAACCAAGTTGATCACAAGGACATCCTTATCCTAGAAGTCATTCAAAGCCAAGCTGGGGCCACCAGATCAAGCAGCCAGAAAAGAGAGAGAGGGTTCCTTGGGTGACTTCCAGGAAAATGCCAACCCAAGAAATCTATCAGAAATTATGATATTGACCCAGCAGGCCTGTTCCCAAGATAAGGTGATCCACATGGTGCCTTGGAAACAGTATAAAATAGTTTGAAGGTCCCCTTAGGGGACTTTGCAGGAGATAGCCATAAATCTCCAAATCCAGGACCGAGTTGGCCACAATGTAAGTAAGAAATGGGACAAGGGTTGGGGTTTTTTCCTATTTAATGTAACAAAAGGAAATCGACAATGTATTCTTACCAATCTAGGTGAAAAGTTTATACTCTGTCCTTAGTCTAACTTTCTAAGAGTTGCTTCAATGGTAGAGGGAGCTGGATGGTTTCTAAATTTAATAAAATATTTAATAGGGGAGAAACTTCCTAAATCTTAAAAGCTGTTCTGATGCAGGTGACCTATAAGTGGTCATGCTTTTTATACCCCAGTGGCTTTAGAGTTCTTTCTAACAGCAGCCTTTTGGAAAGACAAGGTCAATCTGGGATTTGTAGAGAGAATGTTAGAATTGGATTTCAAGCCCTCTTCCTCTGCAAAAATTGGGGCATGAGGAATATTAAGGCTTTTGTGTCCAATTTTTAACCTGGGGTCACCTCATGGAAGTATTGCAAGAAATACAACGAGCAGATTAGAAGTATGGCTGCTACTATGGGAAGAAGGGCAGTGTCATAATATACAGGTAATCCTTGATTTACGACTACAATTGGGACCAGAATTTCCATTGCTAAGCAAGGCAGGTAAGTGAGTTGCACTCAGTTAATGCTTTTTTGCCACAGTTAAATGAATCGATGAAGTTGTAAAGTGAATCACATGGTCGTTAAGCAAATCTGGCTTCTCCCACTGACTTTCCTAGTCAGAAGTTGCCTCAGAAGGTTGCAAATGGTGATCACGTGATCCCAGGATGCTGCATCTATGATTAATAAATGTCAGTTGCCAAGTGCCCGGATTTTGATTACGTGACCACAGGGATGCTGTGAGGGTTGTAAGTGTGAGGAATGGCTATAAGCCACTTCTTTCAGTGCTGCTGTAACTTTGAGCCATGAGGGCACAGTGATTAGAATGCAGCATTGCAAGCTAATTCTGCCCACTACCAGGAGATCGATCCTGGCTGGCTCAAAGTTAACTCAGCCTTCCATCCTTCCCATGTCAGTTAAATGAGGACCTAGATTGTTGGGGCCAATGTGCTGACTCTGTAAACCACTTAAAGAGGGCTGTAAAAGCACTGTGAAGCGGTATATAAGTCTTAAGTGCTGGTGCTATTTGATGAACCACTAAATGAATGGTTGTAAGTTGAGGACGACCTGTGATAATAAAAACAATGTAATTTATTGATTTTATACACAACTGTCTTTCTAGGAAGAATTGTTTCATCATCATCTTCCTCCTGTCGTGTAGCATCTCCCTCCATGCAGGTAAATTCAAGGAAAGGCTGTTCCACAGTGAGCGGGGCTATTACCACTATCCTACCACAGCTCAACCCTTTCTCCTCCCCTCCGTCTTATTTCAGAGAATTCTCGGACTTCCTCCTTTTCTGGCGAGTATGGGGGAACAGGTGGAAACCGCTTTTCTCATTCTGGAAACCAACTCGAGGGGCCCTTGACGGCCTTAAGGATCCGGGTTAATCGTAATTACATTGTGGGGTAAGTACGTGAATGGCTGAGAGGGTTCAGGATTATGTATGTTGAGGAAGGCAAACGTGCTTGGGTTGATGGAAATTAAAAGATCCTATGTCAACATAACTTTGAGGGGTATAGATCTTGTGTCAACACAATTTTGTGGGGAAGCAGATCAGATTTGTTTATTTAATTTCTGTGGCTGCCCATCTCAGTGATTCTGGGTGACTTAACAATTCCAGAATTAATAAAACAAAACAATAAAAGGCATTTTGCAATCCAAACATCCAACATAAATATAAACAGAAGTCTATTTCTTGACTTATTCTATTTTGACAGCACCCATCTCAATCAATGACTCTGGGAAGTTTATACTTCCAAAACTATAAAAATAATTAAAACAATCCGTCCATAAAATCTAAAGTGTAGGGATAGTTCAAGAAAGGGGCCAAAGAGGTTAAGACAGGGGTGAAATGCTCCCAGTTCAGACCGGATCGCCCAATCTGGTAGCGATGGCAGCAGGTGGTTCGGAGAACCAGTAGTAAAAATCCTTGTGCCCCCCCCCCCCACACACACACCATGCCCAACTGAGCCACACGATCATCAGAGGCTTTTTTTTTTTTACTTTTAAAAACATTTTTTCTACAACCTCTTCTGACGAAAAAATGCTTTTAAAAGTTAAAAAAAAAGCCTCTGATGATCCCGTGGCTCAGCTGGGATCGTCAGAGGCTTTTCAAAGCATTTTTTTCTGCAACTTCTTGGCCGAAGAGGTGCTAAAAAAAATGCTTTGAAAAGTCTCTGACGATCCCAGCTGAGTTGCCTGATCGGCAGAGGCTTTTCAAAGCATTAGAAAAAATTCTTTGAAAAGTTTTTTTTTTAAAGTTGGCCACACCCACCCAGTCACATTATCCACCACCACCATCAAGCCACGCCCACCGAACCGGTAGTAACAAATTTTACATTTCATCCCTGGATTAAGATGGCAGTAATGACTGATGTGATGAGAGTGCCACCCCTTTTTACATGTGCTGCATACACAACACATATAAAAAGAGGAAGGGTTTCAGTTACACCATTGCGTATAGGATGTGTGCACAAACAAATGTCAACATAAGGATATTTGCTCACTACAGATCTTCTCTGTCCATATAGAAAGGAGAAGGGTTTTGGGGTAACTTTTGTTTTCCTTCGGTTTGATTTAATTTAATTTAATTTAATTTAATTAGTTAAATTTATATGCCGATTGTGACTCCTTTTCAGGTTTTAGAGATTTCCTGAATCAGTTGCATGGACAATTGTTAAAAATTATGTTTGTCAAAATTCCAGTTTTTGGATGTCCGTGTTAATAGACCTGGAATCAGTCTTGAACACAGCAGAGTAGTGATTAAACCTTGATTATGAAAATATTGCCTGTCAATTACTTGACTTGATTATGTGCCATTACATCGGTGTGATTCCTAAGTAGGTTTTCTTCATGATGTTCTGTCCCTAATCCATTGTTCAGGTCTTCCAACAGTGGACTCATCTCGGCTGTAATTGAGTGATCTACCTTGCTGCTGGTTATCCTTTTCTTCTTTTTCCTTCCACAGTTACTATATTAAAATCCTTTTTTTCTTTTTCTTTTTTTGCTTGTTGATCATTGGTGAGTCCAGAAAGATATGTCATATTAAAACCTTGGTTCTGAGAACTTGGTGTTGGATCTGAAACTGAATTACTCTGTTATCAAACTCAACTTTGAAATGGGATATTCAGTCTTAGTTACTTAAGAAAATCTATACGGCCACCCAACTCAGTCTCAGTGATTCCGAGGAGCTTGCAAAGATAAAAGGCCAATATAAAAATAATAAAAAGCAATAACCTCCTACCCCCATCCCCAGGTGACCACAGTCAAATAATAAGACATTTGATACCCTGTTTTCCCGAAAATAAGACATCCCCTGATAATAAGCCCAATCGGGCTTTTGAGTGCATGCACTAAAATAAGTCTCCCCCTGAAAATAAGCCCTCCCCGAAAACATTTCAACGCAGAGCTGGAAATCAGGTAAGACGGCAAGAGGAGCCCCATCTTGCTCCACATGCCCCAAAATAATAAAACCTCCCTGAAAATAAGGCCAAGCACTTATTTCAGGGTTCAAAAAAATATAAGACAGGGTCTTATTTTTGGGGAAACATGGTAGGCTCCATCCCACTTTGGGGCCCCTGGGTCTATTGTTAAAATCTTGACTTCAGGGTCTACTGAAAGAATGTTAAAGTGTGAGTCAATCTTATCCCCACAGGGATGATGTTCCACATGGAGGGAACCACCATGGAGAAGACCATTCTTCTTGGTCTTGTTTGAGGGATCTCCTTAGGAGAGGGGACCTGAAGCATTCCCTACTTCCCTGCTCTGATGGGTTGGATAGATGTGACTGGGAAAAGACAGTCCTTCAAATAATATGGTCCCAAGCCATTATTATTATTCCTTATGTTAGATTTGATCCAGTGTCTTATCCCAAAGTTATTATAATGTAGACGAGTGTTTCTCCAGCTTGACAACTTGAAGATGTGTGGACTTCAACTCCCAGAATTCTGAGAGTTGTAGTTCACTCATCTTCAAGTTGCCAAGCTTGAAAAACACACTGAATTGTTCATGGCTATTCTTCCAATCCATGTTTTTTCACATGGCAGAGTAACTATAGGATTACTCAACCAGACTTTGATGTATAGTGCCAGATGAAATGAGTAACCTATGTGGTTTAGTTTAAAGTGTGAAGTGTTTAGTTGAAACACACTTTCAGAAAAAAGTTTCTAACAGTCCAAGGATAATTTCTACACTTGTTGGAAATAAACACTGTTTCCAATGTAGGTTTAGTCATCATTAAGACAGTTCACTCTTTAATCAGTGTAGGTGTAATTAAGTCCAAACAAAAGCTTCATTGTGCAGTTGTTTTCACATTATTCACAGAATTTTAAGAGGAGTTATTACCAAAGTATCCTCAATTTTTAACCTCCTTGTTTTTCCTCATTGCTCATTTCCTCATTGTTCTTCTCAAAGAAAATCTATTAAGGAAACTAAGGTACCTTTTTATCGGTAATAATATGATTCTAATCTGGAAACTCATACTACACAGATTGAAACTGGTCCAAGAGAACCAATATCCTATTTATTTATTCCAGCTTGCAGGTCCGTTACGGAAAGGAGTGGAGTAACTACGTCGGTGGCACTAACGGAGATTTGGAGGAAATCTTCTTGTTCCAAAGGGAGTCCATCATCCAAGTATCTGGGAAATACACTGATTATCTTCGCAAACTGGTCTTTGTCACTGACGAGGGGCGCTACTTTTCTTTCGGCAAGGACTATGGCATCAGTTTCAGTGGGGCACCACTCTTCCCAAACACCGTCCTGCGTTACATCAGTGGCCGTTCCAGCAGTTCCGTCATTAATGCCATTGGATTCCACTGGGATAAATATGCTGCTGGTTGCAGCTATTGTAATGAGGCGATACAGGAACAAGATAACAAAGAAAGAGTAGAGTAGAAGGCAGCAGAAAGTCTTTTCTGCTATCAGTGAGATTAGGGTAGTAAATTCCTTCAGCATCCAACTCTACTAGTCTCCACTGCCCTGTTGCCAATCATCTGTCTCTTTACAGATACATACTAAACCAATAAACCATTGCAAACCCAAACAACTTTTTCTTCCAACATTTTTTATTTTATTTTATTTATTTATTTTCATCAAGCATGTATTAGATAACAGATATAAGTATAAACATGATTATGAATACATGAAATGGATAGAATAAATGGGGACATTAGGACAGTGATGGTAGGAATGTAGGTGTGCTTATGCATGCCCCCTTACAGACCTCTTAGGAATGGGGTGAGGTCAATAGTAGACAGTCTAAGGTTAAAGTTTTGGGGGTTTGGGGAAGAATCCACAGAGTCAGGTAGTGCATCCCAGGCATTGACCACTCTGTTAGTGAAATCGTATTTTTTGCAAGCGGTTTACCATAAGTTTGTATCTATTGTGTGCTCGTGTGTTGTTTTGGTTGAAGCTGAAGTATTCATTAACAGGTAGGACATTGTAGCAGATCATTTTATGTACTACGCTTAGGTCGGATCTAAGACGGTGAAGTTCTAAGTTGTCTAAGCCCAAAATTTCAAGTCTGGTGGCACAAGGTATTCTGCTGTGAGCAGAGGAAAGGAGGACTCTTCTCGTGAAATATCTCTGGACTTGTTCAATTGTATTAATGTCCAATATGCAGTGTGGGTTCCAGACAGATGAGCTGTATTCAAGAATTGGTCTAGCCCTAGTTTACAGTTAAATATTACCTAAGAAGAAGCTACGCAAGATTAGGTTAACAACTCTTAATGCCTTTTTGGCAATGCTGTTACAGTGAGCTCTGGCACTTAGATCGTTTGAGATGAGTACCCCAAGGTCCTTGATAGAGCGATGGTCGTCTATGAGGTCATGTTTCCCACCCTTCCTTTATCATGGAAAGGAAGGGAAAGAAAATCACTGTCTGATCTGGCTTAGAATTTGCTTTGGAGCTGTTCTTCCCACAAAGGACCAGCAGTGAACACTGTGGCTAATAAAATGCAAACTGGAAACAAAGTGCCATTGTTTTTTTTTTGACCGATTGTCCACCTTTGAAGGGTGGGACATCACTACGCTGAAATAATGTAGGGATTTCTTACAACCTAATTTTCCAACATTTTGATATGCATAGCATACTGAATTGACATAATAGGAGAAATGGAGCAGTGGTTAAAAGCATCAGCTATGAGCTCCTACTGTTATCTCAACCACGGCCTTTCTGTTTGATCCTAAGCAAACTGCTATATGGCTCCCTCAGCCTTCCTGATATAAATGAAATGATAAAAATGATGCTGTTTTTCTAAAACTATTGAGAAGATGAATGAGTCTATGCACTGCACCCAAGCCTTGGCTTACTTCAACCAAAATTTTTGATTAAGCAACAATGGCTGTGTTGACATACAGGTAGTGCTTGATTTATGACCGCGCCAGAATTTGCATTTTTAAGCAGGGTGGTTGTTAAATCACGCACAATCTTATGACCCTTTTTTCCCTTGGTTGTTAAGTGAATCACATAGTTGTTTAATGAATCACATGGTTGTTAAGCAAATCCACCTTTCCCTGTTGACTTTGCTTGTTGGTAGCCAGCTGGGAAGGTCACAAATGGTTATCACATGGCCCTGGAAGTATCATAGGTTCCAATTGCCAATTGCCCAAATTTTGATCATGTGTCAGGATGCTAAGACAGTCAAAAGTGTGAGGACCAGTTATAAGTCACCTTTTCAGTGCTGCTGTAACTTCAGATGGTTACTAAATGAATAGTTGTAAGTCAAGGACTACCTATACATGAGCCAAAACCAAAACATCATGTTCTGCATTGGTGTGATATACAAACCCAGCCATACACTTTAAAAAACAAAATGATGCTGCATGGGATGAAGGGTTATTTTGTGTGGAGGGACCCTCAAAAAAGTCAAAAGAGTGTCCATGGCTGTCTGGATGAAGCCCCTGCCCCCCCGCTTTTTTTTTTACATGCATAAAAAGCATGGCTCATATGAACAGCGATTAGTTTCAGACATAAAACTAGCAAATGGTGCTGCACTTGGTGTTGCATTGTGAGACAAGTTAAGGACTGCAAGTGGTGGTCCAACCAATAGTCCCATCCTCTGCTCAAACAGGAAACCCTACAGTATACCATTTCAGACAAATGGTTGTCTAATCTCTTCTTAAAATCCTCCAGTGCTGGATCACCCACAACCTCTGGAGGAAATTTGTTTCACTGATTAGAAAGAGCCTGGTGGCGCAGTGGACTAAGTGCTGTTAAAGTAGCACTTAGTTGCCAGCTGCCAGCAATTACTGCAAGTTCAAATCTCACCAGGCTCAAGGTTGACTCAGCCTTCCATCCTTCCGAGGTAGGTAAAATGAGGACCCGGATTGTGGGGGCAATAAGCTGACTTTGTATAAAATAGAACACTGCTTAGGGGGGGCTGAAAGCCTTACTAAGCAGGAATATACAAAAATATGAAGGCTATCGCTTAATGCATTGTAAGCCGCCCTGAGTCTCTGGAGAAGGGCGGCATATAAATCGAAATAATAAATAAATAAATAAATAAATTGTTCTAACAGTTGGGAAATTTCTCCCTGGTTCTAGATTGCTTCTCTCCTAGATTAGTTTCCATCCATTGCTTCTTGTCCTGCCTTCAGGTGCTTTGGAGAATAGCTTGATTCTCCTCTTCTTTGTGGCAGCCCCTGAAATATTGGAACACTGCTATCATGTCTCCCCTAGTCCTTCTCTTCATTAAACTAGACCAGGGGTCGGCAACCTTAAACGCTCAAAGAGCCATTTGGACCCGTTTCCCACAGAAAAGAAAACACCGGGAGCCACAAAAACCTTTTGACATCTAAAATGAAGATAACACTGGATATATCATTTTTTATCTTTATGCTATGTATATAAAAAAACTATAGTGTGTTGCATTTATGAAATCAATGGCCTGCTACAGAGAAAATACATTTTTATTTCTGCATGCAACAAAAACATTTTGAACTCCAGAAAAAAAGATGGGTCGAAAAGCTCAATAAAACATGTGCTGGCAGGTGTCACACATTGGTGGTTGTGACGCATATTTTGAGTGACAGGGAGCCGCAGCAGAGGGATGCAGAGCCATGGGTTGCAGACCCCTGAACTAGACATACCCAATCCCCGCAACTGTTCCTCATATGTTTAAGAAGAAGCCTACATAAATGCCCAAGTAGCATTTTGCAAAGGACAGATCATGTGTTATGAAGGAAGATGACCTTACAGAAGGCAAGTGTCTAGGCACTCCAGCAGCCCAGATCAAATGGCCAATTTAGGGCAGTGGCCAGCCAGTGGATGGGAGAGGACACATCTGCAGCAATCTCAGTAGGAACTTTTATCTGCAGCTGTGTATAGGTTTCAATGCATATTTATCCTGCCAAAGGATTGATGGGTAAGTGTAGGTTGCAGGTGGTTGGAGATGGGCCGATCCACACATCTGCCAAATCTCAACTACACATTGTGTGAGATGCGTGTCCTGCATGCTCATTGGTTGACATCTTCTACATTTTATGTGCTTTGTTGTTTGAGCATCCCCCTGCCAGAACGTTAACATTCACAGAGGCATAATTGCAACAGCTATGCAACCATCCCCAAACAACTGACACACACTGTCCCTTACGTGCAGTGATGCAGAAGTCTAAATCAAGCCTAAGGCACCAGGATAGGCTAGAGGCCAGGAGACAGTAAGTTCTAGTCCCACCTCAGGCATAAAAGTCGGCTGGATGACTTTGATCCAATCACCAGGAGACTGTGAGTTCTAGTCCCACATTAGGCAGATTGGAAAATAGTCAGATATCTGCTTTCCATTTTGCAGGGCTTGGAAATGTAAATTTTACGGGCCTCAGAGTTCCTTTAGGAAGAGCCAAATTTGTTGGCTTTCCTTGGGTTTGTTTTTTTAGGATGGGGTGAATAGCCAAAATGGAACAGATACTGGATATTAATACCAGAGTTTGCTTTTCATTAGACATTCACAAGGAGGCTGTGAGTTCTAGTCCCACTTTGGGCATGAAACACTGACTGGGTGACTTAGGGCCAGTGACTCTTTCTGAGCCCAACTCACTTCACAGGGCGGTTGTTGTGGGGAAAATGGGAGAAGGAAGCTGTATTGGCTATGTTCACTGCCTCGAGTTATTTATAAAAATAATGAAGCCAGGATTCAAATAAGTAAAAAACTTGGTAAACCCCAAACTTGCTATCACTTATAACATCAATGAAGAGTTGCACATGGTCAGCAGACCATGGAAAACACTTCTGTAACACAGGAACAATAGAGAATACATTTAGGTCCCCTTAGTAGTTAACCAAGGATGAGATAAAGGCAGTTGTGTGAGAGTATGGCCTTTAAAAATGGTTAGCAAAGCATTTTTGCGTTACAGCCAGAAGGAAGAATGAGGTGAAGATCCATATGGAAGCTCCTGTAGGGTTGCTAACAATCTCTTGCATTTCCAATTCCAAGCATCGTCTGTGAATATAGGAAGATCAAGTGAGCTATTTAGAATCGGTAACATCAGTTGCTAGGCACCATTGTGTCATTTTCTGCAATAGTGAAGGCCTCCCAAGATTTTGGTATTCTTGTCTGAAATCACACATGTGAAATTGAGAGTGTGGAAATGTCATGCAATAACGGGCCATCTCATGAGATGCTGCTGACCACTTTCAAAGTAAATGTTTTCAGTTTTTACTATTTATCTCTAACGGGCGGGTCCAGGAACACCTGGTGATAGTTGACCCATCAGTATTGTGGAGCCCTAATTGCAATGTACGTTAGACTAGAATCAGATCTATATCTATAGATGGGAATGTTTGGTTGCACAAAACCAAACCAGAATATGTATATTCTTCTTCCTTTCCCTTGTGGTTGTTGTACCTTCATTTAAGCTAGTTTGTGTCTAGATCAGGGTGTCCAATGTCAGCAAACCTAAGACCAATGGATTTCAACTCCTAGAATTCACCAGTCAGCCATGTTGGCTGGGGAATTCCTGGAGTTGATGTCCATTGGTCTTAAGGTTGCCCAGGTTGGACACCCCTGGCCTGGACCATCAACTTCTTTTTCTATCAATTAACAGCCTTAA